GTCTCATTTGACTTTTACGTGTGTGATCGCGCAGTCAAAGTTGTCAATGAACACCATTAAGAAACACTTCTTCGAGCAGATGGAGGTCAGGATCACGTGATCCAACTTCCGCGTGATCTTGTTCCCGGTCTCGTCCGTCTTGTCGACCTCCACCATCGTCGTAAACCATTTCCGCGCGCGGATCTCTGTTCTGGTCAAAATCGTCTCCAATCTCACAATCCATCTTAATAAACTTCTTGATTGATACAACCAAAACTTTCTCTATTTCATCAAACAAACGGATTCAACCAAAGTTTTTCTCTGTTTCATCAAACAAATGGATTCAAACAAAGATTTCTCCTACACAATCAAAGAGAAAAGATAAATTTCTCTTTTCATGAAAAAAAAATCTTGAAGTTTTTCTCCTTTTCATCAAACAAAATATATTTTTGGATGATATAAAATCAACAATATTTTTTTGTTTTAACTAAGTTTGGTTCTTATAGTTCAGTTTCGTATTTACTACAATTGTACATGAAATGTGATATCAAATTTAACCGTTTGAAAGAGTTTAATGACTTCAAAACCTCGTCTGATGATTACTGCGTTTATAAAACTTCGAAGCAATATTCATGATAACATTTGAGTTAAAACAAACGCTTTGTGTATGAACAATGTATAACTATCAATCCAAACCAAGGTATCATGGCAAGAATCAATCAATTTTAAAAATTTGAATCAATGAACTATTTGAAAAACGATATAATTTACTAAACGACGATATATTTTTGCCGATTTAAAAAACAATTTGAATAAAGAAATTTTAGAAAAATACAAATGTCTAAATCCGAGATAACAAATCTCATAACCATATAAAAAGCGACAAACCAACTTAGTGAAAACTGCTTGACGTAGTCTAAAGTCACAATCATCATTTGAAAAACGGAAATATTAAAAAAATTCATCATGTCAAAAAGAAAAACAACTTGATTAGAAAAAAAACTTCATACAATTATCATGTCAAACACAGGATTTTGTTCGACACCTCACTTATATTTTGTAACATTTTTAGGTATAATGAATTGGTGGCAAAATCCTGACTGAGAACATGGTTCTCTATTCCAACACAAATTTATTATTTATTTCGATAAAAATGATAATATTTACACAATAAATAATTTAATTTATCATTTTGAATGGTATTTTTTTCCATTTTGGTAATTTTCGATGCATCAAATGCATTCAAACTCTAGTTTCAAGTGTATATAAAATATCCAACTATTTTGAATGCAATTCATTGTACATCTAATTTTGGTTTGGATATACTTTTTATTCAAAAAATCAAACAACACTCTAAATATTGCATCTAAATGCTTTCGGCCCCTCCTAGTAT